CTGCGTCCAGCTCTGGAGTCCTAAACACAGGAAGTTCATGGGCCTCTTGGAGAGAGTCCAGAGAAGGGCCATAGAGATGGTAATGGATTTAAGCTGAAAGAGGGTAGATTTAGACTAGATATTCAGAAGACATTTTTTAGTGTGAGGGTGGTGAGGCACTGGAACAGGTTGCCCAGGGAAGCTGCGGATGTCCCGTCCCTGGAGGGGGTTCAAGGCCAGGCTGGATGAGACTTTGAGCAACCTGGGCTAGTGGAGGGTGTCCCTACCCATGGCAGGGGGGGTGGAATTAGATGGTCTTCAAGGTCCCTTCCAGCCCAAACCATTCTATGATTCTATGACACTGACACTTAAGGAGTAGAAATGTTTATAAAAATCTAAGTTTGAGCATTTCTTAAGTTAGGTTGGTGCTTGGTTGAGTTAGGAGCTTAAGCCTGATGCCTCTGTTGCAGTCAGTTCATAGCACCTAAGTTAGAAGCTTCCTTCTCAATTAGCTATTTAGGGAGCCTAAAGTTGGAGAATATGGACATTTTGCATACATGCTTCTGCACACAGCTGTTGTGCATGTGTCATCTGAGTGCAGAAACAACTCATGAGTGAATTTGTGTTCGAAACTTGAACATTTTTTCTGCAAGATAAAACCTTGGATCTCCTTTGTACTGCCTGGTAGTAATGAGGGTTAACTATGTTCCATTTTTGAAAATGGATCAGTCTCTTAATTCTATGAAATTAAATAAATTCTATTAAATAAATAACCTATTACATCTATAAATAAGTCTATTAAATTAATTTTCAAGTGAGATGAATTTTGTTCTGACTCTGTGAATTTACAAATTCTGTTTGCATATTACTTTGTTTTTGTCGACACAGTCGTTGCCGAAGAGCATCGGAAAACTAAAGAAGCTGAACAATTTGAATGCCGATAGAAACAAATTAACATCTTTGCCCAAAGAGGTAAGTTTTGTGCAATTAACTCTCGCAGATGTGATCATACAAACAGAAAACTCTTGAGTTCAAATACCTACAAGAAGTGGCAGGCAGCTTTGATCCACTGGGTTTTCTTCCCAAACCGATGACAACCAGAAACTTGTCCATTAGATCTGAGCAACAAAATTCTGGATAGCAGCTGTCGTGATTTGGTGCCTTGGAAGTGCAAAATGTCTTTGCAGTTGAACAAGAAGGTTTGTTATTGAACTTCTTGTCTGTCGTAACAGTATATGAAATGAGGCTAGAATTTCTGTTGTGAAACTCAATACAACAAAGGCATTACAAATTTAGTCCAGCAGTAAATTCTGGAAAGAGATCAGGGGAAGCAGGGACTGCGAATTGGTTCTGTTTGCACTACTGTTTCTCTGTAATTTTTGACCAAGTAGTTCTCTCCCTTACTTTTCCTGTCTGTTTTTAACATGTGACTCTGAGGTTGTAGGTTTTGTTCATCACTTTCAGTCACTTCAGGAGCAGGTGGCAGCTGATGGATGGGAACTTAGACGAGTATCAACTCTTTCTAGTGAGCGCACACTTTTTGCTCAGGCCCGCTTACTTACGGAGCTTGGACAGCTTGAGGAGGCGTGAGGAGGAAGCAGAGTGGCTGGGAACTGGGAGATGGGGGAGGGCTGATGGTCTAAAGAGGAGGAATCGAGCAGGGGCAGATGATGCTGCTGTAGCACTGGCAGCAACTTCCACTGGCCCAGGTCTGAGCTGCCATAGGTCGGTCACCTAATCCGGGCTCCACAATAGCGCTTGTTGCTCCTTTACAGGTTGGCTTGTAAGTGTATGTTTGACAGGGACCGGAGGTGAGGGAGGGAAGAGATGTGAGAACTGCAGTTCTCTGGCAGGACTGTGTCTTCTCTGGAGAGATGCTGCTGGTTCTGAACAGAAAATTGCAGAAGGTGTACCCAAATGGGTTGTGTAAATGCTACCAAGAGGTAGGACCTTGGGAAAACCATGTTTCTGGGTTGGGATGTAACGGTAGTTTTGATCTTGCGCTCATTCAGCAGAAAATTTTCCATGTCTTTAAAAAGATCTTAATACATTCACCGGTGTCCTAAACTGTATATGCTTGAGATTCGTACAATTTTTTGTTTAGTCCATCTTTAAGAAGAATGTCTTTACAAAGATCTTAGTACATTGCACCGGTGTCCTAAACTGTATATGCTTGAGATTCGTACAATTTTTTGTTTAGTCCATCTTTAAGAAGAATTGCTGAGTTTGTTATAGTGTGTAAGGTTTTACTGATACAGTTTACTTCCACATTGGCCATTAATAGCTTGTGTGTATAAGGACTTAGTTAATGAAGTTCATGGTATTGGAGTCGGTGCACAAGGACGAGCAGTATGGCTTAGGAGGAGCAGGGACAGAAGCAGGTGAGAGGAGGCCTGGCTTCAAAAGCAGGTAGAGCAGGGTGAATATGGAGTGTGTCTGCTTGGGGGGTATAACAGAGTCAACGGCTCGGTGAGGGACAGTAAAGGGGTTGATGCTGAACAAGAAACTGGAGACTTGGAACCAGAAATGGGTTTCTGAGGTGGAAAGTGTTGCCCAGTCTGAGAAGGAGTTGGGGATATCAAAGGGTGAAGTGAAGAACAAGAACCTGTGTGAACATCAGTGCACATGAGAGAGAGGGGAGGGGAAAACTGCACAAGGGGTGGGATAAAGTCAAGGATGAGTTTGTGTTTGGAGGAGGCAGGTGATGAGGAAATGGAAAGTGGTATCTGGAATGAGGGGAGCTGGGGTGTTGTAGAAAGTCCAGGAAAGAAAGATGGGAGAGGGTGGTTCCCAAGGAGCTTGGCAGATAAATCGAGGAAACAGCTCCTTGGCATCCACTTCTTCCTGTAAAGGTCTCCACACCTATGTCTCTTTCTCATTAGACCAAACACTTTGAAATTACATTTGACATAAGACTTCTAGAATGTTTTGTTAAAATATGTTTTGCTCTGTGGATTTTAAAAATTCTTTTATTTCTTTATTTTTAAAGGAAGTCAGTCCTCCAGCTGGAGGGTTATATCCACCCTCTAGATCAGTAGATTTGAATTCCAAGCTAGTAATGGTAACAAATAGGAAGCATAAACCACTGATGCAATGGTTTATCTGAAAAATACTGTTAATATGTGTGTATTGCAGAACCTACTGTGTAACTAACAAGACTTTTCAGTTTCAATTTTTCAAATTTCGGTTTCAATTCCTTGTGCCTAGGCTGTGTAATAAAACACTTTTCCCTCAAGGTCTTTAGATTGCCTTCTAACAATGCTGAAATGCTAATTTCAAAACCAGAAAGAAATCTACTACTCTTTGCTCATGTTTTATCTGTTCCTGGAGTGGTATTCTCTTTGTGTAATATTTTTCTTAACCAGCAGCTTTTTGCTTTAAGCCAAATGTGAGCATTTCTGTAGTATAAGTTTTCTGTCTGAAATGCAGAGAATTCAGTGAAGAGTCCCATTTCGTAGCTCTCAGAGAACAATGTTCCATGTGAACAGAATGCACAGGTACAACAAGTGCTGTTTGCTGTTGTGCAAAGCATCCACAGGAGCAGCTGTGGGTGCTGATAATGGCAGAGATCCAGTGTGGAGTTTCTCTTTGGATGGCAGGAGAAACAATTTGGTGTTGTGGTGAAATGTTCAATTTCCATTTTCCTTCTCATCATTACTGACTTGTAAAAAAAAATACAAAATGCATTGGCAGAGCACTTAAGGAAAACTGAAAGATGTGTCACCCTTTTTCTCTCTGTTGGAAGGTTCTGCTTGACAGTGAGAAAGTATACCATTTTTGCCTTTTATTTTCATCTCAGACTGACTAATTAATATTTAAAGCTAGGCATGGGCTTCTGACAGCAGCCATTTTTGGCACCACTGCTTGTGCTGTGTGTTGCTTAAGATGTCTCCTGAGATAGTATGGTGAAGATTGGGGTCTCAGAGCTTTGCACATCAATCACTATCAGTACTTGTACACTGGTTCCACCTTCAGAGAAGCAGTTGGATGCAGAAGTCCAGTATGCACTGCGGATATGCTTGCTCAGTATCTTCCCCTCTTTTCCTTTTGCTTTCTCTTGTTCTTTCTCTGCCTTACAGAATGGCTAGAACAGCTGTGCATTTGTGGTCTTCATCCTTATTAGGAAATGGTTGTGAGACAGGCCTTTACAGGTTTCTGTTGGAGAGGGACAAAGACATAGTCCAGTAACATGTACAGAAAAAATGTGACTCTACTATAGAGAAGAGTACACGTTAACAAATATATCTACCTGCTGGTGTCTCTGTCCCTCCCTCCAGAATTGTTCCTGTAGCAAAGAGAGCCTTTATAGATGTGATGGCAGAAATTATATGCCTGCCCTAATATAGCCTGGTGAGATAATCTATGAATTCTAGCCTTTTTTGTGGTGGTGTGGGTGGTTTTGTGTGGTTTTGGGGTTTGTTTGGGATTGTTCGGGTTTTTTTGGTTGGTTTTTGGTTGTGTGTGTGTGTTGTTGGTTTTTTTTTTTTGTTTGTTTGTTTGTTTTTTTTTTTGTTAGCAGTTCACCAGGGCTGGATTTTGGGTCCGCCTGTCAAACCATTATGTTGACAGATTATTTCAATGCTCACTTGTAAAACCAGTCTACCTTTTGGTGTAAGATTTCTTGATTTGGGATTATTGAGGAGCTTGTATGCAAATACTCCTTCAAAGTTTCTTGGTTCAAAGGTTTCTGTATCTGGTGCTGATATATAAAGTAAAATGTGGAACTAGCTGAATGTCTGACCAAGACTTGAGTCACTGGCAGATTTCATCTTCAGTATCTCATCTTGCAGCTTGATCCCTCTCTCACTGAGTTGAGTGGTGAAACAGACTTCATCAAGAGCCGAGAATGTCTGAACCTGTTCGTAGTTAGAAATGTTTTTCCCCTTAAACTTGAAAGACCTGCCTGGTGACTCTTTGGTATTGAAATCCCACCCTGGCACTGAAACGCTGGCGAAACTGGTGTGTTGATTTTGGCACTTGCATAAATAACCTCCTTGGAATGTTTTCCAGTTCATGTGCTTTTGTTAATGAGTCTCTACAACCTGCAGAGATCTGGTAATGTGTCCTTCCTGGCTCTGAGGTATATTGAGGCTGAGAATTATTACTACAGTAGGTAAAATTGCAGGGGTTTTTTTGGCAATAACTGTGCTTTTTACTTTTTTTTTTTTTTTTTTTTTTTACAAGTTGGGGCTGCTTTGTTGTTTCGGGTTTTAAACTCTGTCCCATCCTTCCGCTCATTTGTTTAAAGGTATGTGTTTGTGTGTCTCAAAGAGAAAAAAGGCACTAAGGAAAAATGCAGGAAAATTTGTCTTGAGTTAGAGGGCGGAGAAGCTCTCTTGCTGTGTTCTTCCCATACTATTCACCAGTGGTGCAGGGAGTGTTGAAGTGAGTTTGCAGATTTCCCTACCCAATTTAAAGTTAATAATAACTGAATAATAGCTACTAATAGTGAATTGGACAGTTTCTTCCACCTCTAAATGTATTGTGTGCTTGCAATTAAAGAATTAACCTATTTTATCTGGGGCCAAGAAAAATTTTGACTGTATTTACTTTGAATCCAAACAAAATTTTAGTTATGACACACTGGAAGAGATTTTACAACAACAGCATAATAATAATTAATAATGAAAATGAATAACCCTTAAAGTTGCTAGAATGAAATAATTCTCAAGAGCATGACTTAGGCATGCACAACTAATTGGAGACCTTTTCCTGATGTCTAGCTCACTACAGAAGAACATGAGGACTTCTTTAAGTCTCCAGTCTTTGGAACAGTTACTCATGTGCCTAGAAATAGACACATGCTTGACCCCATTAACTGAAGTCTGTGCTTGAAACAAACTGTGCTTAACTGTTACATGGGCTTGTGGTCTCAACTGTGTACTTGGTGCCTATGCGGTGGTTTGGCAAACTCTGTTGTAAGCATGTGATCAAACCCTTGGAAAGCATGGCTCTTTGTCAGTTAATGACTGTCAGCCAAATCAGCAACATTCTGGTGCCGTATTACTTCATGGTGGTCACAGTGATGTTTTCCTTCCAGCATGCCATTTAGCGTGTGCACTTTGCCTCAGTGGTACCACTTTGTGTTTAGGTTTTCAAACGTTGGACCTGATGTCTTTCTGTACTGCTGGATGGGTGCCATCTTGAAATGACAAAAATTTTAGGGGTATTTTTGAACTGTTTTTTTTTCTCTCTGATATCTCACCCAATGCTGCTTGTTAGATGCCTACAATTTTTTACAAATTGCCTATTGACTGATAGAGCAAAGTTAAAATAACTGAAATTAAAATAACTTGGGAGTTCTAACCCTCTTTGGCAGTATAAGAATGTATGTTCTGTTTCCATTGTTGGCATGCTCTTGTCCGGTATGGGTAAAGAAAAATAAATTGAACATCTCTTGTATTTTCTTAATTGTTAGCCGCTTGGAAAATTATGGGTCAGGTAAATTGATAACCCTGTAAGTATTATTAAGTCCACGGTTCTACTGTTACCTTTCATTAAACTGCTTTAAATGCATGATGATTCAGGCTGACCAGTTCTGCTGCTGCATTTTTCCATTGTCAAAATTATAGAAGTTTTGGTCTCATCGGGGCTGCATGGCTTTACATTGTTTGTTTGGCTAAACCGTTTGGATATCCATGCTCCAAGACTGAATAACACAAACTTCATTCATGGAAAAGTGAACACTTTGTGTACAGTTAGGGCATCACTTGCCAGCTCATCAACATTCACTAATTGTGTCTCTTGCTTTTCACAGCTCCTCATGTTAGATACACCAATTAGACACTTAGTGTCTCTCTCTTTTTTTTTTTCCCCTGTAGGGCACTGTATTCTGTGAATGTGTCAAGGCACATTATTTAAGAATCTATACGCTCTTTACAGTGAATAGCAGAATTATTGCACTAAGAAATGTTTGCTCGTGATTTGAGTGCTAGTTTCTGATGGCTTTGATTCATGAGCTAAAGTGGCTAGCAGGGTTGCTGCTCCTAGCATACATGCCGAGCCAGGAAAGCTAATACTCTTGTGAAATAGCTGCATCTTAAAGTGCAGTGATTTAAGGGAAACCGTCCCAGATTTTGTTTTGTCAAGAATGTTGTGCTGTTACTTTGTGCTGTAAACAGCTTGTGAATCAGAAGCCTTGAGCATCTTAATTGCGGCTTTCTTCTGTTAAAGTGTAGTTATGATACAAAGGAAGGTGAGTGGCGTATAAATGCTCTGGTTATTTGTTTTATTTTCTAAGTCACAGTTGCATCCTTTTAAAAATGGCTTTTTCCTTGGTAAATAGTGTAGGTTAAATCAACATGATTTTTACTTTGGCTTTTGTGTTATATGTCTGTAATATCCAACTGGCTTTGGACTGAATTGTGGATTTTGCAAAGACAGAACTGACAGTTAAGTGGAACACACGTGTAGTTTCAGCTCAGATCTGGGGACTCCTGACCAAGGTGTAGTGACATGTTGGCTATATTGTGACAGAAGAATGTTCTTACGCTTGTGTGACTATAAGTCCTCTAGTTTTTGAACTAAGATCCTTCTGTAGGTTTGCTGTCTATAGTTAGGTTCTAAGTCTGCTTAACTTGAACGCTTCAAAAGGCATTGGGATACTTTGCCTCTAATACTTGCAGTAAGAGAAGAAACATTTTTTTTTTCCCCTTCTCATGGTGAGTTTTGGAACTGGCAAACAGCAGTGCTTTTTGAAGCTCAGTATGATAAGCAAACAAAGGTAAGTTGCCTTTGTGAACAGGAACAAAGAGTTACTTGAAACAGCTTTCAGGCTGCTAAAACTAATAATCTTGGTGTTTATAGGAGTAGTAATTGCCACCTGGAACAAAAAGGTGGAATGGGGGTTTTTTTATCAAATGTTGAGGGTTTATTTTTCTGAGAACATGGACCTTTGATGCAAACTATAGATATTTTAAGGGTAAAACTGAAAAAATCCCATCTTTTGTACCCAAAAATTAGCTTGAGAATGCAGATGCTTACATTTAGATAAATTGGTAGAGACAGAGGATATTATATTAAATTGGCCAGTTTGTATGGGAATCATCTTGATATGAGATGCTTCTGGTAAAACAGGGCATCCAAGGTGTTAGTCCTAAAGTCTTCTACTTTTTGTGAACTCTTCATTACTGTTGCAGACTTAGTAAATGTTGGGAGTTGGTTGCTTTATTTAACATTTTGCCTTGCCTAAAGCCCCATCGCACTTGCTTGTGTCTAAAGTTACTGTGAGGAAAGAAGGATTTAGCATGTAAAACATAGGGCTAGAAGAAGTTGAAAGTTAAAGCTAGTATTTTTTGTGAGGGTTGTCTACAAAGTGACATCTGTGGTTACTGATCTATTCCTGGCTGAGAAGGCTCTAAAAGGTAGGTAGAACCTGACCTATTTGTAAAGATGTACATTATTCCCAAATATATTAGAGAAACTGCTGCAACAGACTCGCTTCAGGTCAGGCTTCTTTTAAGCTAACACTTGTTTGCAGTCTGTACTTCTGGGTGAAGTGTCTGGCAGACATTGTAACTTGAATGCGCTCTGACATATTACATGACCCGTACTGCATGCCTTTGTTTATGCAATCATACTGCACCAAAACCAGACCTTTTTTTTTTTTTTTTTTCCTTCTCTCTTCTCTAATATAGATTGGGGGGTGCTGCAGTCTTAATGTCTTTTCTGTACGTGACAACAGATTATCTCGAATTCCCTCTGAAATTTCACAAGCCACTGAACTTCATGTCCTGGATGTTGCTGGAAACAGGTAAAGAGATTTTTATATCATCATGTTCTTTTGCTGGATTTACTTAATTCTTTCCAACAATAAAAGATATTACGTCTAAGAATGAAGTAACAAAAACCTAATTATGACGTTCATGTTAGTGTTAAGTTGAGATTGTCAAAGCAGTCTTCTCCCTTGGCCCAAAGTAGCATAAGTTGTGTGTTGTCCTGAGTATAGTTTCTGGATTGCTTTGACCCTGAGGAAAAGATAGGATTTTTAAAAAACCTCTGGAGTTTGTATATTTCTCAATTGAAACTGAGAGTCTAGGCAACTTGGTAGAGCTTCGGCTGAAACTACCAGCCTTAGTGTCAAGTAACATTAACATTGAGCATCTTAGAGATACAGTGCAAGTAACAAAGAATGCCACTTTGACCTTGCAGCTTCTCATTAATTTTAGGTGATGTGCTTCAGACACTAAAATGCAAAAAGGAGTGGATTGAAGCATAAACCAGCAAATTAGTTCAGTTGTGATTCTAAGTTAAATGGAAAACAAACAAACAAACCCCCCAAAAAACCCAAAGAGGAAAAGCAAATGACATTTTATTTATGCAGTATAGTTGTCTCATAGGCACTTAACATGTTTCTGTTCTGGCAGTTGTGTATCTATAAGGCTCCAGAGCAGAAGCAGCTGCTTTCCAAGGTATTTTACTGCAGTAGAAAAAGCTCAGCATTGTTTTATCTGTTATTCACAGCTACAGAGAGTTATGGTATAAAGTTGAACTGCAGATTCTTTTTAAAAGAATGGAGTAGTTGGAGTTTGATGATGACTGCAATGCCTTCTATTAGAGGCATTAATGTCAATCCTGTTTATCAGGGATATATACTTAGGAGTTGACTTCGTGACCATCTATTTAATCTCCTAGAGATTGCCCTGACTTTCTTACTTTTCTTTTTTGAACTAGGCTGACGTATCTTCCCCTCTCACTGACTACCTTAAAGCTGAAGGCTTTGTGGTTGTCTGATAACCAGTCCCAACCTTTGCTGACGTTTCAGACTGACACAGACCCTGAAACAGGAGAAAAGATTTTAACATGTGTATTACTTCCTCAAATGCCTTCTGAGCCTGGTTGCCAAGGTAAGTGCCTAGAGTCAGTTTTTCATTATGTTATAGAAGTACTTCTTTGTTTCCTCTGTTGTCTGTTCCATAAAGGTTTGTAAAACATTCATAAGCTCTCATGAGCAAATTAGCAAAGTTCTGGTTGAATTTTCATATTTAAGCTTTTTTGGTTTTGTAATCATGCTAGTTTTCAGAAGACTTCAAAAAACATGGCTGTGAGTGTTATTGAATATACAATGACACCAGCTACAATAAATAAAATACAGACCTGGAAGAAGAAGACCTAATCGTATCATAATTCTGAGGCTTGCCAATGAGTCAAGTAGTGGTGTCCGTATGTGTGTACATTGATTATACATCTTAAATACATATATATATAGTGCAAGTTGGTGCCTTGGCTTTCCAGCTACAATCTCTTTACCAGAAAAATAATTGTATAGCTAGTAATAAGCAGTAGATGTTTTACTTTTTAGCGAGGTAATTTTCTTTCAAGCAAAGATGCTGTACAGTAACTTTCTTATATTCTTCAGCAAGTGTAGAATTGCATTATAAGTTGCTTTTTCCTTTTGTACTGAAACTTGCCTCTGGGTCAGGTGGAATCATAAACGCTTTTTCACTGTTGGCTGGCTTCCTGCTCCAGTAGCTTCTGGATGTTTTTTGTCCTCAAGCTTTTATAGCAATGTGGGAACATTTAAGGGGATTCTTCTGAGCTAATATTTAAACTTTGCTGTAAGCACTGGAGAGTAATTTATCCCATCCAAGAACAGACTTCTAAAAGAAGCCACGTAGATTCTTCTCCACTGAGTACAAAGAGGGCCTGAGGAGAAAAGCTCAGCTGTAGATATCTGTATTGTAGGTACCCAAACTTACCTAGGTTAATTCCACTCTTTCAGTACTATGCAGCTGGAGCAAATAGAAACCATTAAAGCAGTAGAAGTGTAGAAGGGGCTCTGTTTTGTGTCAGCTTCTGGATTTTAAGAATACAAATTACATTAAGAATTAAAATAAGTCAATGCATTAACCTCTTTAGATTTACAGAAGGTTAAACTAGCTCAAGAAGAGTGGCTGAGGCAGGCTGACTTTCTCTAAAGGCCTCACTACTAGAAATCAGATTTCCTCCTCTTCAAATGAATCTCATGGCTTAAAGGGTAGAAGGCTTGGTATTAAGACTGTTGGATGTGCAATGAGGTTAGTAAAAGCAATGGTCCTGTGTCAGTAAAAGCAATGATCCTGTGTTACGGTATGCCGTTTAGGGAACTGGCTGATGTCAGATGGAAGCCATGGTCTGGAAGAAAAGCATGTGTAGTGGCAAGTGTACTATATAATCAGTACTCTAAAACTGCCGCAAACATGGAGCAGTCCAAGTACAGAAATTTCTCATTTATACAGAAACTATTTTTTGTGTGTACTTGATAACAGAAAATTAATGCAAGTTCTGTTTTCTGTCAAAAAAAATAGAAATAGTGGATTGTAAATCCCAGATTAGTGATTGGTTGGATTATTATATTAACAATATAGCGTGTTGATGCTTTGGACTTACTGTGAATCTTTAGTGACGTTTTGCTGTTCTAACAGATAACCTACCACGATGTGGTGCACTGGAGAGTTTGGTAAATGAAATGTCAGATGAAACATGGAACGAGCGGGCGGTGAATAGAGTCAGTGCAATTCGCTTCTTAGAAGATGAAAAAGATGAAGAGGATAATGAAATGGTATGTTATCCAAGCCTTTAGATACCTTCAGACACTGTGACTTTAATACAAAAGTGTGAAAAGTATCTGAGCGCTCTTGGTGTAAATATTTCAGCTGTGACTCTGTGCTTTTTGCATACATTTGTAGCAGAAACAGTTCATGTTGACTGACAAAGCTTTGCGTATTGACTTGAAATGCTTTTTTTTTTTTTTTTCTGCTTTGAATATAACTTTTATGTTCTGATGCAGGACAGTCTTTGTTTTGCTTTGCTTTCCTGTGTCTGCTCAGGATGTTTTCTTTCCAGAAACAAGATAAGATCTTTCTCTGCATCTGTGAAGCTTTACTGCCTGAAAGTATATAGGGTCTAATTTAGGATTTCAGCACTCTGGCATGTGTCTCCATTAAGTTTGCCATTGTTTGTCTCTAATTTCTGTTTCCAATCTTTCTTTCTCTCTATTTCTTCTTTTTTTTTTTTTCCTCCACCATTTGCATTGAAACAACCATACTGTCCACAGACAGCAAGAATGTTGCTTGTTTTCCACTTAAACAAAGGATGTGGGAACATCTGTCACTGTACTTATAAGACCTCCCCATTAATTTGGGCTCTGCATGTCCTGAAGATCAAAATGCAATGTGATCTTTAGCTTTTCTAACTTTCAGTAACAATTAAAGCTCTTTGTGAAGATTAAGACTCTTTCAATCAGATTTTCAGCATGCTTCTCCCATGCTCTAAAAACTTGCTGGTGGTCCTCATTAGAGCTCAGCTTGAGATACTTCAGGGCACTGTCTGGATTGTAACATACTAGAAACGTGGTCTTACTTTAAAAAGTGACTACAAAAATTATTGGTTGGTAGGGAAATGAACATTAAAGTTTTCACATAACATGATTACTTAATCCAAAGGAACAGAAACTAAATATCTCTGACAAGTGTGGTTCGTACACTGACTGATAAGGGAGTTCAGAAGGGTGCTTCCTAACAACTGTGCCAACCCAGGAATGTCCACACAATAACAAGGGCTGAGGTGTTAATGATAACTGCTTTCAGTCATGGTATTACAGCCTGACTTGAGGCAAGAACCTTTTCAGGGGAAAAAGAAGTTTATGATTGACCTGGGGAGGAGGAAGGGCGGATTTCCGAAGCAGTCTTGACCAATGCACCCATTTGTGGGTCATCACTTCTGCTGTAATTTGTACTGTTTGCATGTATGCCATTGAAAAGTAATTGCATGTATATATGTATTGTACTGATACATATTTGTGCAATTATTCTTGGTATTTTGTTGGTATCTAATTTGGATGCTAACTGGGGTTTTCCTTGTAAAAGTTTCAGCACAATGATGTTAGATGTTCTCGTGTCTAAGATGGGAGAGAAATGCTCCCTCTTCTTCCTTTCAAGATATTTGTTCTCAATTGAGAAGAGAACCAAACTGTGTGGTGGGACTGGAAGGCGTACAGAGCTCCACACAGACATGTATTTGACGCTGTAAAGAGATCTTGTGGGATTCTTTCAAAACCAGCTGAATGGTTTTTGTTTGAAATGAGATCTTAAATCACTTGGATGGGGTTTTTTTGGGGAAAAAAAAATTCCCAACTATATTTATGAAAGAATCTTCACTTCATAACTTGTAATTGTACTTCGCTTGAGTGGCTTTCAGATTAGTAGGTCAAGAGATGAAAAAATTTGCTCCTAGACAGTTCTTAAAACCTCTTTCACTTCTTCATAAACAAGCAGCTATAAAAATAACATTCAACACAGAGCATCGTAGTTTCAAAAGGAAAAGGGGGAAAAAGAAGAAAAAAATTGATACGTATATTTGGTATGTGAATGCTAAAGCCTTGAAAGTGTATGTTGTTTTTCAAAGAGACGAAGACAAAACCACTTATTGCGCTGTTTATTTTTAGAGAACACTTCTAAGGCGAGCCACTCCACACCCTGGAGAATTAAAGAACATGAAAAAGACAGTGGAGAATTTACGGAATGATATGAATGCTGCTAAAGGACTGGATTCAAACAAAAACGAGGTCAATAATGCCATTGACAGAGTGACCACTTCTGTGTAGAGTTTCATCTCCAGGTTTTACCTCCTGTGTCTTCCCCTGCTGTTGAAACGTTCCTGTCATCTTCTGGGACCTCACTGAGCCCCTTTTTGTTTTTAACCAGAACCTGCTTCATCGTCTTCATACATGTGAACAGTGCTGCCCACTGGAAGAAAGTGCCTTATTTCATCCAGGCAGTGAAACAATAATTTCCAAATCTTTATTGCTAGGCTTTTTAAAGTATAATACACTACTGTATGCAGAATACAATATTTTTGTCTTAAACACAGGGGAAATAATGCTTTTATTTTCCAGAGTTGCTGGGATATCTTTTTTCCCGGTGGATGGATGTTCTGGTGAGAAATATAGTTTTGTGGAAAATTGATACACTTTTTTATTTTTTTTGGCAGCTCAGATGGTGTAAATTTTAAATTTTTGTATAGGACTTTCATAACAAAATGATGTATTTCATTTTTAAGAGAAAATTTATCTTGAGCGGTACGTATTTTGGTATTTGTGGAAGAGAACAAGTTTCACGGACGACTGTATTAGTTCATTTGTACCACTCGTTGTGCCTTATTTGTCTTGTATGTCACATTAGTCTTAAATATAGCAATTATTGAGGTGAGTAGATTCAAACTTGGTCTCCTGTTTTAGATATGTTTTTCTTCTTGGACAGCAATTTGTTGGGGTTTTTATGGCAGAGAACTTATGTTTATATCAAGGGATTTTAGGTTGTAAAGCACAAATGTTAGTTTTGTTGTAAAGAGAATTAAGATTAAAATGACCAAACTGCTATTGTTTATTACATAATGCACTCACACTTTAACTTAGTTGTAATGAAACATCTTGTTTTGGATGCTGTGTTGCATTGCAGTCACTAGAAATTCATGCTTCCGTCGTTTTTTCTAAATGTGCCATCTGTAAAAGAACTTGAAAAAACAGCACGATAGACTTTCAGAAGCACAGTATGAAATTAGTTTTATGTATTACACAAGAAAGCATGATTCTTTAAAGTGCTTTGGTGGTTTTATATAAATATATAAAACCATAATAAAAAAATCTTTGAAAGCTTCAGTAGATTTATTGTGTCATTAAAATAGCAATTAAAGTATGTATGAATTAATACTGGAATTTACTATCATTGTTACTGTGTTGCACTTCCAGTGGTCCAATGCTGATTTCAAGGTTTTATTAAATCTGTGGGTTCTGGTTTGTTTATAAAGGTAAGTATTAACTGAGCTGAATTCAGTAAATAACAATTTTGCAAAAGGCTGATAAATATTGGTTTTGGTGTCTCTGGGTTCTGTATGTGCCACAAACTAAGACTTGTTCAGTGCAGGGACTTAAGCAGTCTTGAGTTCAGAGCAAAGATATGATTTATTTAGTGTGAGCTAATGCAATGAACCCAAATTTCAACTAAATAAAAGACCCGACACTTCATGTATGGCTAACGACACCCCTGCTTCTGCTGAACATTTCCTCCAGTAAGCATTGGTTGGATGAGGGTTTCTGGGAAAAGATGGGAAAGGAGGAGATGAGGGAAGTTATAATAACTTCTGTGTTAAAATTAATAATGGCAATGTTTGATAATTTTTGTAATTTAACTCTTTTTTGAAGCTTTTCAAAAAGCACTGCTTTCCTTTTGATATTGAACAAGTAGGTATTGCAAGCCATCTGCAAATATTCAAATTAACCTGGCAAAATATGTTAATTTTTATGTTTTCTTCTCATGCTGAAGATTCCTCATTTAAGCTTCTAGGCATGGTCTCTTTGCAGGAGTGGCTGCAGGTTGATTGGTGTTAGGTTAGTTCATGGGTAGTGCAATTTCATTCTTCCCAAGGCAGATTTCTGCCAGGTCTTGGTGAGCTGCTCTTGAAAAACAACAACAACAAACAAAACAAAAAAACCCAAACAACAAAAAAAACCCCAAACCAAAACAAAAACCACACAAACAAAAAACCCAATCAACCCACCAAACAAAAACAACACAGAAGGAAAATGAGGTTTTGGTACAATTGACTCCAACCTTGGGCAGAAGTTTCATTTTAAAGTACTTACTGGAACTGATACAACAAAAGTTTAAAAATGTAGGAAGCTCTGTACCCAGCGTCCAAGTAAACCTTGGCAAACCCAGTTGAGATGAAAATGAGTTCCTAAAAAAGACAGACCAAAGTCAAAGGCAGCAAGACTCTATCCTCTGTGATGGCAGTTTTTAATTTGGAGGCTATGGTTTGTTTTGTTTTAGCATCTGCTCCAGATATAAACAGGAGAGCTCCATCGGCAAGATGGAATGAATGTGTAAAGCCTGGGTTTGGACCTTGCCTAATGTGCCATCAAATGAAAATAATTAAGCGCCCGTGTGCACTTACTCCCTCGTGCTGAAGTCAGAAGAAGTAGTAAATCTTGTTAGAGGTTTTTGGTAGATGCTTTGTCACTGGGCAGTTGCTTGTGGAGACTGCACTGCAGCCCAGAAGCTAGCCAGAAAACAGGCCCTACTTGCTACTTTGGCTTTGACATGAAGTAACGGGGCAGCAGTCAAGTGATTTTTACTTTTTTTAATAGTGTCTTGTCATTTGACAAAAGGTTAGAGGAGCTGAAGTCCATCATCAGACCATCCTGCTACTATCTCCAAAGGAGCGTTGGTGTTCCTCACCTTTCAATGCAATTAGAAATCTGTCTACACTTTGTGAATCTGCGTAATTAAAGTCTGTATTTTCATTATGTTTCCTTAATATCCGCATGAGATCTGAAAGGCGAGGTGTATTTTTCAGTTTTCTACACTAACACTCTAGAGTGTTGTATGTCGTTAATGTCTTTTGTTTATGCTCCTTGGGTGAGGCAATGTGAGGCTCTGCTCTGCTGCAGGTGGTTCAAAAAACAATTTAGTGTAGGATGTTTGGGTCTGGCAGTAAGTGCATTTTTCAAGGCTAGTAAAAACTTGAGGTGTGACAACAGCTGCTGGTAGTGTGGAATAATAGCAGCTGAAGTGTCATTTCTTTTCATGGCTGAAAGCATGCTTGGATATTCCCTGTGCAAACACTGACAAACGGCTACCCTCTCTCTCCCCCAAACTTTAAATGTCAGGTTCACAGTGGCTTAGTCATGAAAGGGTGACTTGCATGTCCTTCCACCCTGTCAAACCTGCAGCAGCCTAGACCCCAGTAGTCCCTCTGATCTCTTGGAAGGTCCGTATGCCTGCCATTTTATAAAGTCGTTTAGGTACACTTGCCTTCCCAACAGTGTCGTTAAGATTCCAGGCAATTTTAACTGTATTTTATAGCCAGAAATAGCTGATGATGTTTGTTATGCTGAAGCAGTGTGTGTTCTTGAGAGCATGAGCCCTCCCTTCCTGGTCTCTGTTTGGCTCCTTTTCTCTTACTGACACTTTGAGGAGCCTGAATAGTGAATATAATTTTGTAAGTATGACTTTTCTTTTTTTCTCTGCTACTTTTTCGGTTGCTTTGTAAGTCTTCTGGGATGTGGGTGTAATGCAAAGAAAAACACTGCAATACTGGTATGCCGCTTTATTAGCTAAACAGGTAATTGGGGAAAACTAATTGACCAGAGTGGCGCAGTGGATTTAATATTAACCTGTCAGTTACTGTGTGTGAGTTCTCTTTATTGAAAGTCACCATTCCATATTCTTACAAGAGTAGAGAGAGAGAGAAAAAAAAAGCACTCTCTTTCTACCATTTCTAGTGTAGTTAATGTAGCAACAAATTTTTCCATCCCCTATGTGTTGCTCCAGACTTTTTCCACAGTGTCCGTACAATGTATGTGTTGAGATTATTCTTCTGGCTTGCATTGCATATTTTTGATAATGATCATATTGTGGGAAAGTGAGTACTGGAAACTTACATACTGCTGTCCTTTCCAGCAAGTGACTTGTTTGTGTCCGGGACAAGCTGATCAGCCTGCTTCTTGTTTAATATTAGTGCTTTACTAGTGCTGGGTGAACCGTTTTTAGCTAATTAGCTACTCAACAGGTTTCACTACTTGCTGCTCATGAATTCAGCTTTTGAAAAGTAGTGACACCAGTAATTTGGTTTTTTTAAAGTATGTTCTTCAGTACATCGGTTGATCCTATCTTGGTTCACTGTAGATGTCTACCTCCCGCTGAGGCTGAAGCATACTCGTTATCAGAAATGTCTAGACCTTTTGTTAATGGAGGGTTCACTGCCGTTCTTTGCCATGACTCCTGAAAATAGAATTACTTCAGTTTTTCAAATGACTTGATAAGAGTGTTTCTGGAAGAATAAGCGGTCACTACATGATTATAAACATGAGTGAATCTCTCTATAGTTTGTTGATGACATCATGGACTTCCAATAAGCAACTTAAAACCAAACTAATATCTAAACTGACTAACAAAAAGAGTGGTTATGTGAATATTGCTCATGATTTTCTTCCATTCAGTAGGGGAGCAAACTGCAATTCTGATCTGAAGAGCATTTGCATAGTGGATGTTTTTAGGATAACCTACAGCAATTTATTTTTTTTTTAAATGGTGTCCTCAGGAAATTAAAAAAATCTTATCTGGCTAGTTAATATTTGAATATCTAAGTTTAAAATTGAGTTGTGTGTTTACTGCTAGCAAAGTTTCCCTGTGGAAGGCTTGCTTCAATAATCTGTTCCAGCAGCTTTTATGTTGCCTTTTCTACAGCCAAAGCGCATTCAAAGATGCCGTTGTTTCAGCAGCATTTTGTTTAGCTTTCATTCTTAAATATTTGAGTCTGAAATAGTTTTCAATTAGTAGAATATATTATGTATAGTTGTACTTACAAGGAAAGAGTTTATATTCTAGGAAATACATCTTTAAAGGCATTTTCTTCCCTGTATTTACTAATTAAGCTATTTAAGCAAATCTTTTTTTTTTTGTTCAATGGGGATAATGTATGTTTAGGGGTTGGAGTTGAATTATAGTAGCAGGTGTATTGCCATTGAAATATTGTAGGTAACTGAAAACACTGGCTTCTGCTTGCCAGTGGTGACCGGGCTGTTGCTGTAAGCATGCAGTTCCATTGTCACTGTACG